CCTAAACTTACAATGACCAGGAGGTGGCAGTATAGAGTTCATGTTCCTTTTTCATTATTTTTATTGTAATTGTTAAATTCAGCAGGACTTAAAAGCACTGGCTTTTTGACTAATCTATATATCCAAAGTCTAATTCCAATAAAGCTTTTTCATAAATGCTGCCTGAAGTTTTTTAGACTGAAGACCATATAAATGAAAATAGCTACGTGTGCTAGTTTATGACAATGACACTGCTATTTCATTTCATTTCAACTAAAAATTTATTCCCTGACAAGTAATGGTCTTCAGAGTATGAAATCCCCTATTTATCTCACACTCTGTTGTGATCAGAGGAGGAGGCCAGGTCAAAGTATTCCCCCAAAAGAGATGTGAGCAGCAGAAATATAGTCTAACAGCTGCTCCATAATAGAAAGGTAGGGCAAAAGAACAGGCAGTACCAGAGGACTTGGGGGAACTTAGGCAGGCAACCCAGCCCGTCTCAGCTGTTACATAGCATGGCATGGCTAATTAAATCATCATTTTCCCTGGCCAGCTGACATATATCCATGGTACATTAGGGCAGATTCCCAGATATGTCAAATTGTAACCTGTCAGTGAATTGTTAACCATTAGCTGCTGCAAAAGGAAATTGGCACTTTCCACTTCTTAGATCTCTCTTTCTCTTTCCCTCCCTCCCCATCCTGTGGGGGGGGGGGGGGGTGTGGAATAATTTTAGGCTCAGTGCTATTACTCACACTCACCAAATACCTACCATTTTTCAGTCCCATGTGGCAGGGAAGACACAATACAGTAACTCTAGACCAGGGGTGTCAAACTCACATCGTCACGGCAGCGTCACATGACATGTCGAGACTTTTTCCCCTTTTGCTAAACCGGGTGTGGGCATGGCCAGCACATGACACATCAGGCCCGCAGTCCGGGAGTTTGACAGTTCTGCTGTAGACTATGGGTGTCCAACCTTTTAGTTTGCCTAACCTTTGGTTGGACTTTGGGTGTCCAACCTTTTAGTTTGCACTGAGTGAAGAGGAATTGTCTTCTGCTCCATTTCAAACATATAGTATAGTTATCACTAAACATATGTATGTAGATATCACTAAAAATCACACAATAATGTCTACAATTACGAGAATATCCAGGGCTGGTGGCACATGCCAGCTCTAAACAATGCTTAGATTAAAGAACCCTAGTTACAAGTCATCCACACTGCCCTTTTCAGGATATTTATGGATTACAGTATGGAGAGACTCTGCAAGTGAACAGAACAGACTTTGATCTATGTTATATAACAATTCAACATTGACATCTATGCCTTGTGACTATAATGAACAAAAGTTGAATTACACAACTGTAAAAGTGAATTGTCTTTGGGTAAATGTTTTAAATTTTATAACACTTAATTACTACTAAAGATTGATGCTTAGTACACTTACTTACAACAATCTTCCCTGCCTTGGCACTTTTGGCTATTCTGGCAAGGCAGTTAGGAGTTGCAACAGCAAATCTGGAACAGACCAGATTGAAAAATGATAACTTGGTGTAAACTTTTCTGAATACTGTTTGACTGAGTTTGTAATAATGCAGAGGGGAATCACACGGTAAAGATACTGAATCATTTGTCCATATAAAAATACTCTGCAATATTAAACTGAATTCCAGTAAAGCAAAACAACCTACCGTGTTTCTCATATAATAAGGCCGGGTCTTATTTTTTTTTGAGCCCCGAAAAAATGGCTAGGCCGTCTTTTCGGGGGTGACTTAATTTCCCCCCCTTGCATCTTCGGGCGGGCGGCGACGGCTTGGATGTTGACCTCGGCGTTGGTGGGACACTTCGTATTGGGGTCAATGCAGGCAGCACCATATCCGGGTGTGCAACAAAAGTACTTCCTAATGGCAAGCCCCCCCACCATTCCCCCCATTTTGCATGTTTTAATATAGGCCTTAATTTGGGGGGAGGGGCTTAATTTAATTTCATGCCTATAAAACATGCTGGGACTTCCTATTGGGGGAGGCTGTATTGTTGGAGAAACAGGGTATGAACTATTTTGCAGTTTTTTAATTTGAATATTTCATTCGATTTTGTAGCCAGAAAAATAATTCAAAGGAAGCAAATATCCCTTACATAATGCTATGGTAACAGGGGCATGCAAAATGAAAAATATGTTTTGTTTCAAAGCTGAAACTATTGCATTCTGGAAGTGCTGCCAAATCAGCACAATTATTCAAACCAGTGCCTGTATTGGGACATCATTGGCAAAGGGGAAGCAGGCAAGAGAGGGAGGAAAGGGATCGGAAAGACCAGGATATAATATCTCAACATGGGTAGGCTGAATATCTCAACATGGGTATGCTGAATCACAGCAAAATCGGAAATAGTTCAGCAGAAGCAAAATTCAGAAAGTATTAGCTGTTCTGGATTCTGCCCACAGCAAAATCCAAAGGGATCCCAGAGTGGGTCAAATCTGTTGCACCTTCTACTCCATGTTGTCTGTCTATTGAGTCACCCATCCTAATCTTCTTTACAACTTCTACCCTATCTCTCCTCTGCTGCTGATGTCCCAATTCTTCCAGGGATGTTTTCCCCCCTCTCACATCATTTACTATTGTTGTTGCTAATGCTCCAGTGTGACATATTCACCAGTGATGATCCAGGAGGGCATACTGAGCCTTCCCCAATCTTGCCAGGGTTTTCACGCTGCCTCCTCTTAACAGCAGCTGCTGCAGATGTCCACATGCACCATCACTATGGATAGTTGTCAATCTTAGCTTTCTCCTACTCTTACCTTCACACACACACACACACCCCACTTCAGCCTGGAACATTTTGGTTGCTAAAAACCTCCAAAACAAAGCAACCTTTGTTTTGAACATGGATCTACAAAATCAGCTGTTCCATGCAGGTTAGAGTAAGTATATGAAACATCTCGGCCATCCCTACACTGAATCCATTCCTTTAAAAACAATCCAGTTTTAAGCTTCAATTCACATCAAATGATGCTCACTTAACTTCTAAAAGCAGTAAGCAAACCAATGGTTAGGCACTAATATTTGGGGGGGGGGGGGGGGAAGAGAAGTATTATTTATTTTGAGCACATTTAGAAACAAGTTCCTGAAGTACATTTTCTTTTGAAAACGGTCCAGGCGACCATAGAAAGTTAAGAGACCATACAAAATTTACAAATAACCTATTGTTAACATTACAAAACTATGTTTAAATGGTAGCTGTTGAAAAATGAAGATAAATTAAGATGTCAGAATTATAGATGAAGTTCAATTTTAAATTTCTAATGGCAAAAACTCATTTTATACACCACCATCCTATTAGCCTTCTATAACTACAAGCAAGTACTCATACATACTGATTAGAAGTGTGTTTGTTTGTTTCCCAGAATATATTTACACCCACAGCGGAGACAGCATTTCAGGTTTTTATATTTTAATTGGGAAGAATGATTTCCATGGGTGTCTATGTAAATGCTATGTCTACTTGCTGCTGAACTTTACTATGAGAATTTCATGGACGTGTCCAAGTAAATTTCTTGGCAATTATATGGAACTGGTTGCCACGGCCTATGTTTTTCCCAGTCTAGCCTATACACTGGGATTTCCTGGAAACCTGACATCCACCTTCTAACCAAATTTGACCCTGTTTAGCTTTTCCAAGTTTGATTGTGGTGCAATAACACCTAGGCCAGACTACATAATGTTCAGGAGATATATTTCAAGCAACTATTTTCATTCTGCTTGTGCAATAAAGTAATCAAATCTAAGCAGATCTAATGCTCAGGGAGGAGTCGGTGCAAGCCTTAAAATAATTATTTAGTTTTCCTTTCCTTTCCATGTTATCTCTCCACTGATACCATATTTATGGCTTCCTACTACTTTCCTAATGTTGCAAAATGGGGTTCTACCAGGCTATACTGATGTAATACATCAGTATTCTTGTTCATAATTAAGACAGTGGAGTAAATGAGTACTAGATAGGAGCAATCTACTTAAAATCCAAATGCTCCAAATGCTATGAGTGCTTCTACATTCAAAGATGTGCTATCATAAAGACTATTCTGCACAGAGGGAGAAAAATTAAAAGGCAATATAATCCCCAACTACTAGTGCCTTATGAGATAATATACTCACATTAAGTTGTAATCCACCCAAATACAGCAAATATCTCCATGTTCAGGTAGCATATAATGCAGGATGTCCTGAGCATATATGAGCTGGCCATCTTTTTTAGGCCTCATTTCTCTTCCCACTTCCATCTACAATGGATGACTGGGTTGGCAGCACTGCAAAGTCAGGAGATGATATGCAACCTGCCAATTTCTTTTCTTTCTAAAGTGAAGATAAAAACTAAAACACCCATGGATTTTGTACGGAGATAACCTGTTATGATCAGCTGGCTGGATCCAACGACCCAAATTTGGAGTTTGTGTGAGATGTTATCTTCTCCTTGCAACTAAATTAACACTATTGTGAGAACCAGATGTCTTGTATTTGGCTAATTTCATTTTAATCCCACAGGTTGGCAAATTCATTATATTAAATTAATATTGGGGGGGGGGCAGTAACATGTGAAAATAAACTATAAAAAGCAAAGTAAAATCTGTGGTTTCTTCCCCAAACCCCAAAAACTTTAACCTTAGACTTTCTACTATTGACCTCACCACTTTCCTGAGAGGTTTGTAGGGAGCGTGCATAAGCGCACCAACGTGCCTACCGTCCCTGTCCTATTGTTTCTTTTATTTTTCTTATATGTATCCATGTATTCATACCTATGTTTTTACTTATACCTATTCTCTTGTAAGCAATTGACAAACCAAATAAAATAAAATATAAATAAATTTAACTTTACAGAAAGGAAATTGTGTTAGAATAAATCCTGGTATTATAAGTGTAGGTACCAATGTGGTTTATTTCTGTTTTCATCTTTAACTGAACAGACAAAAAAAAAGATCTTCCCTAAAGAAATATCCTCATTATGCTTCATTTTTGTTTCCTACCTGTGAAGATTTGGCGAGCTTCTGACTGTATTCCTTTTCAATCTGCTTCAACTTGCCATTGGCCTGAAAGACACAAACAAAAAGGGAAACCAGATTATCTCAGATGAAGAACGTGTACAGACATTTTGCCACTGACCTCTGTTGCCTGGCACTTCATCTGCATGCCTATCACTAAGCAGCTGGGAGCTTTGCCAATTCCAACGCCCTTTTGTGGCAGCCAAAAAAAACCCTAGGGCTTGCCTTTGATCTAGGGCCAGCTATTCATCACTTGAAAGAGAGGGAGGGAGGGAAGGGGAGGAGAATAGTACTGCTGCTGCCAATTATTAGAAAAACATAAAGGCCTCTGTGGACTTTTTTTTTTAAAGTTTGGAGGGGGGAGAGGGAGAGAGAGTTTATCTGGATGACCTCATCTCAGTAAGAAGAAAAAAGGGAAGGGAAGGGAAGGGAAAAAGTCACTAGCTCCACTGGGGGCTGGGAGGATATAATATGACAGATACTCTTATGATATTGTGTGCCAACTGATGCCTGCTAGTTCCTTTTAAATATTCCCACATACCTTTTTGACTAAAAATTGGCTTCCATTAACTCAAATTCCACTACACTATGGAATCATTTGAGCTTTTGACCCACAGCCTTCTTCTTCTCCCTTTTTAGCTTCTCTTTTGCACCTCAAAGGTAAGAAGCAAAGCAATGTGGGAATAGGGATTCTTTGCTGATTCAATATGACATGCAGTTGCAAGAGCAGGGTTTCTAAAACTATCTCAACCCTCCCCCACCACAAACTTCAAATATTTACCTATTGGCTTAAAACATTTAAGAATCTGTTCTAACCTTTCAACTGATAACTCTTGCATTTAATTGGTTTAGTTTACTTTAATGTCATTACACCTCATACAACGAAAACAAACACCATCTTCAGTATACATCATGACCATGACCATGAAAATAAACACAAATATAAACACAAACACAAAACAAAAATAAACACAAACAAAACACCCTTCACACACTGAACCAAAAAACCCCCGACACCACTTACGATCCAATGAATGCACTCTGTTCACATGTTTCTAGACACGAGGTGCAAAGTACTATTTTCTAAAACATTGGAAATGGGGCAATAACTCGGATGAACGTGCTTCCCTGTTCTTTTATTGAGCAGGGAAACATGTAGCACATCAAGCATGAACAATCACTGTACCCTTGTGTGATATTTTTCTTTGTAAGAGGAAACAGGCAACTGTGGACAACACCCATTTATTAAGGAAGGTGTAAGGCAAAACTAGTCAGTCAAGCTATTGACTTTGTAGCTCAACGAATGGTCGTATTTTCAAATTAAATTCTGTAGCTGTAAATTGGAATTAGATCTTCTAGCTTAATACAGAAATATTTAGCAAGTATCAACAGGGAATTACATCAATATAAAAATGTCAAAGTGTGGGTATAGCAGACTAAAGGTAGTCCCCAACTTATGACCGCAATTGAGTCCAAAATTTCCATTGCTAGTCAGGGCAGTGTTACATGAGTGTTGTTCCACTTTACAACTTTTCTTACTACAGTTGATAAGTGAATCACTGCAGTTATTAAATTAGTAGCATGGTTGTCAAGTGAATCTCGCTACCCCATTAACTTTCCTTGTCAGAAGGTTGCAAAAGTTGATCACATGATCCTGAGACACTGCAGCCATCATAAATACATGCTAGTTGCCATGTGTTCAAATTTTGTTCACATGACCACAGGGATGCTGCAACGATTGTAAGTGTGAATAATGATCATAAACCACTGTTTTCAGTGTTGTTGTGACTTCGAATGATTACTAAACAAATGGTTGTAAGTTGAAGATTACCTGTATCTGCTAGTGACCAAAGACTGAAGAAGGTTATCAATGTCCTTTCCACATTTGATATAAGAAAAAAATGAGACACCTATACTCTATGACCATTTTACACACTATATTTCTTGAAGAGGTTACCACCACAGCTGGTTGCAGCAAAACATAACAAAAAAAATTAAGGCACAATCAAAATCGATATGCCTCAATTTTTATGTACAGTACATACATGGAATGTCAGTCTCAGTTGACACCATACAATTAACAATGACTTCAGAAGGAATGAAATTAAAAAATGCAGTCTGTGATACTTGCATTAAAATGTAAATATAAAATATAGTGACCATTCATAAAACACAGTTCACAACACATACATTGGGGCATGAGTTAATTAATACTGTTAATATGGATTAGCACAATTCAGATTGTTATTTTATTTACAGAATTATATGGCTGCCTATTTTATAATGATTCTAGCTTAAAACTGTATTTGTTTGTTTATTTAATATCCAATCTTTATTAGTTTTGTAAATAACTCAAGGCAGTGAACATGCCTAATACTCTTTTTCTTCTCGTTTCCCCCCACAACAAAAACTCTTTTAAGGCAGGGCTAGAACTCACAATCTCCTGATTTCTAACTTGTTGCCTTAACCACTACACCAAACTGATCTAAAAACCAAGATAAAACAAAAATACCCCCCCCCTCGTTGCAAGATCAAACAATTTCTCAGCTCAACCCCTATCCTAACTCAGTGCTCGAAGAAAGAGCTAGCCTTCACTGCCTTCTGTAGGGTTAAAGGATAGAGATCCATTGGATCTTAGATGGGAGGCTGTTTCAAAGGGCTGGGGTGACCACTGATAAGTCTTGTCCATCAGGTGACATTTAAGAGAGCAGATCTGGAACTTGCCCACCCAATCTAACCTAATAGGACAGGCAGATACTCTCAGAGTCTTGCAAATAACCTGGCCCTGTGCCATGTAAAGCTTTCAAGGTTACGAATGAATGTAATTAATTGATTAATATATCAAATTTAGAGACCACCCATCTCACTGAGTGATTCTGGGCAGTATTTAATGAAAAACATAAAAACAATATTAAAAATATTATATCAATAAAAAGAGGCAATTAAAACAAGGTTAGAATAATTAAAACTGATTATAGCACCCAGAAAGCAACTGGGAGACAGTGTAGCACAGATAGCAACACTGTAAGTCAATTGAACCACGGGGCATCCAAAATCTGCATATGCTATTGCATTCTGGACCACTGCAGCTTCTTGGAGTGTCAGTTGTAAATCCACATTCAGTACTATTTCTACCTTGTCAGATAAAATCCGTTCTACATTTAACATTTCTTTTGGACACAATCTATCATATCATTACTGATACTGTTGACATTGTGACTGCTGTTTTCTGATTCCATTTTTCAAGTTTCCTTCAGCATATTTATTGTCATAACCATCTTGCAGGCTTGTATGTATTTCCTCTATCTAAAAACAACCTTTTAGAGTCCAGATTTTGAAATCATGAATTTATTTAACTCCTACCTTTATTTTTATAAATACCTCAAGGTGATGGATACAATAGTTCTTCCTCCTCCTATTTTCCCCACAACAACTCTGTGAAGTGAATCTGACAGAAGAGTGAGTGACTGGTCCAAAGTCATTTAGCCGGCTTTCATATCTAAGATGATATCTAAGAATTGAGAATCTCTTGGCTTCTAGCTTAGTGCCTTAACTACAAGATCAAACTGGCTCTGCATTATTTATCTATGTCTTATAAAAACCAAAAGACAATTGATTTCCCATGAGAACCTGTACGTACTTTATAATTTATTCCTAAAATGTATCATAAAAATTTCAATATTCCAATTTTATCTTGGCCTTTTAGTTTATCACTTTCTAAGCTTATTTAGCTTTTTGCTGTTTATTTCAGATTTTTAAAGTTCTTAAGCTTATAATAAAAGTTTTCTTTCATTCAGGATTAAAGGCAGACTCACCCAGCATTTTCAAATTTGCCATTTTAAAGGTCTCTAAAACAACTTAGTAGTTAATAAACAATTTTCAAAAGTGATTACAAAGTGAGGCTTGCGAACTTAGTGTCCTTCTGGGTGCGTCTTATAGTTCGGAGTGACTTATAGTTCAAAAAATACGGTAAATGGTATAAAGAAATCTGTGGGTGGAAAAATGTATGTGAACCTTTGCTTTCAATCACCTTTGTGTTCTCCATGGGCATCAATTAAAATAAAAAGGTAGTTCTAATTTTGAATAAACTTTAACAATGATACATTTTATTTACTTTATTTTCATTTATTTTGTCAAGCAATAATAAGTTAACAGGTATAAGTATAAACATAGTTATGAATACATTAAATGGATACATATAAGAAAAATAAAAAGAAACAATAGGACAGGGACGGTAGGCACGTTGGTGCACTTATGCACGCCCCCTACAGACCTCTTAGGAAAGGAGTGAGGTCAATAGTAGACAGTCTAAGGTTAAAGTTTTTGGAGTTTGGGGAAGAAACCACAGAGTCAGGTAGAGTATTCCAGACATTGACCGCTCTGTTGCTGAAGTCATATTTCCTGCAATCAAGTTTGGTGCGGTTTGCCTTGAGTTTGTATCTATTATGTGCTCCTGTATTGTTATGGTTGAAGCTGAAGTATTGATTGACAGGTAGGACATTGCAATGTATAATTTTATGTACTATACTTAGATCAGACCAAAGGCGTTGTAGTTCTAGGTTGTCTAGGTCTAGAATTTCAAGTCTGGTGGCATAAGGTATTCTGCAACAAGTAGAGGAGTGGAGAACTCTTCTTGTGAAATATTTCTGGACTTTCTCCACTGTATTGATATGTGTGTGTGTGTGTGTGTGTGTGTGTATAGTATGTATTAATATACATACATCTGACATTAGCATGTATAAGAAAAACCATTAAATTCACCTATGAAGCAAGCGTAGATTGTTCAAGCATGTTTCCTAAATTGGCAACTTCTGATTGATTGTTTCTTTATATTTTTGAGGGATGTAGGAAGTGTACCAAGTAATGAAGTGACATTATAGTGGCAGAGATGGGATGGGAGAATTACTGGCCTTTCAGCATATTTTCTCATTTGAATTATTAACAGAAATTGATTTGGTCGCTCTGATGGACAACCACTGTAAAAAGCTGGACAAGATCATCCTAATTAATTTCTTCATAGATTTTAATGCTACCAGGTACAATATCCT